GTTTACTTGTTATATCTGGGTGTGTCTGTGAGAGTGCTTCTGGAAGAGTTTAGCATTTGAATTTGTGGACTGAGTAAAGCAGATGGCCCTTCCCAGTGTGGGAAGGCATCATACCTTCCACTGAGGACCTGAGTAGGACAAAAAGACAGGAGAACGTAAATTCTCAGTCAGGCGCAGTGGCTCACACCTCTAATCCCAGAACTCTGGGAGACCAAGGTAGGAGAATTGCTTGAATCCAGGAGTTCAAGACCAACCTGGGTAACATAGCAAAACCTAATCTCTACAAAAAATCAAAATATTAGCCTGGCATGGTAGCTCCTTGGGAGACTGACATTGGAGGATCACTTGAGCCCAGGAGTTCAAGGCTGCAATAAGCCACAATTGTGCCACTGCACTCAAGCCTGTGTAACAGAGTGAGACCCTGACTCTTTTGAAAAGTGGGTGAATTCTCTCTCTGCTTGGCTGCTTGAACTGGGACATCGATCTTCTCCTGCCCTTAGCCCTCCCAGTTATCAGGCCTTCAGACTCAGACTGGAATCTACACCACAGGTCCTCAGGCTTTTGAATGACACCATGAGCTTTTCCTGGGTCCACACCTTGCAGGTTGCAGCTTGAAACTTTACAGCCACCTTCCTCATGTGAACCCACATCCTATAATAAAGCTCTTTCTAGAAATATATACTCACCCATTGGTCTAATTCTCTGGATAAACGTGACTAATACAGGTAGTAAATGCTCCAGGAAAATGCAGAAACCTGATGGGTTGAGTAGGCAGCCTTCAAGGGGGCCTCCAGGGACCCCTGCCTCCTGCCATTCACACCACTATATTCCCTTCCCACCCCAAACCTGGTTTGCTCTGTGTAACAACACAGTGTAGCAGAAGTGATCATGTGTCACCTCTAAGATTAAGTTCTCAGAAACTCGGTGGCTTCCACTTTGATGTGCTATCCCTTAATCTCGGGTTACTCACTCTGGGAAGCCAGCACTGACACGTGGCCAGGATCAGAAGGATGGGCGAGCTAGAAAGTGAACCCTCCATTCCCAATCAAGCCTTCAGATGACATCAACTCCAACCAACAGCTTGACTGCAGCTTCATGAGAGGCCCTGACACCCCAACGAAGTCATTCCAGACCCTCTCTCACAGAAATTGTGGAGGATCATAAACATTAGCTGTTCTAAGCAACCAAGTGAGGGGAGAATTTGTTATTAAGCAAGAGATAACATTCTGCTCTAATACAATGAACAGAAACAGAAAATGCCCCCAAATACTCGAATAGCCCTGGTTACTTGCTTCCCTCAAGGCACTTCTCCTCATGTAAATTTGGGGGAAGGGGGTTCTCTTAACATCTGTCTAATAGCTTGAATTTTCTTAATTGTACAGGAAACAAGGCAATCAATTATTTGGAGGAATGTGACTTACACAGCCTTAGCTACAAATGCTCATTATGCTTCCACATCAGGAAGCAGCAGCTGCCTGGGGCCACAAAGCACTGGGCTAGTCACATGACCTTGCTCTAGGAAAGCCACTTATTTTGAGCAAAAGAAATATATCATCAAATGCTGAATTTGCTCAGTGATGTTTCAGTTTTACAGCCATATACTCAGAGCCAGTAAAACACACAAACATACCCTTTGTACTAGAATACCTCACTTTCCTTTTTTTGAAGGGGAGGATCTCACTCTGTAATCCAGGCTAGAATGCAGATATAATCATTGCTCACTGCAGCCTCGACATCCTGGGCTCAAACGATCCTCCTACCACTGCCTCCCAGGTAAATGGGACTACAGGTGCAGGCCACCACATTCAGCTAATTTTTTTATTTTTTTGTAGAGACAAGGTCTTGCTGTATTGCCCAGGCTGGTCTTGACCTCCTGGGCTCACCTAATCCTCCCACCTCAGCCTCCCAAAGTGCTGGGATTACCAATGCACCCCACATAGAATATTTCACTTTTCTGAGTGGGAAATAATCTAACTCCTAATTGTTTCTGCATCATTGCTGTTAAAATACAACATTTGATTAGACAAGGTTTCTTAGGAACATAATTATTATAGTAAATAAAAATGATAATGATAGTTAACATTTATTAAGCATTTATGAAGCACGTTTGTTGAGCCAATGATACATGATCTCTCATTTTATCCAAGCAACAACTCTATGAGGTAGAGTTTTCTTATCTCCATTGTACAACTAAGAAAATGGAAAGCAGGGAGGGTGCATAACTTGCCCAAAGTCACATAACTAGTCAGCAGTAAAGTCATGATCTGACTACCTGTACCACAAACCACTAGGCTAAGCCACTGGCATTATGAAACCTGCCACCTGAACACACATGTACCTGAGAACAGGTGGCCCCAGTGCCACACGTGGGCCTCACCTTCCAGTCTGGGCACTCCACTGTTCTACCTTGACTGTGCTCTGACATCTACGGCACCCCCAGTCCTCCAGCAGTAACTGCCCGAGCAGGTCACTATCTGCCAATGCTGACAAGCTGCCCCTTCTGTGGCCAGAAGCAAGAAGAAAGTTCTGACTGTTGGCAGAGGTGACCTCTGTCTGGAACATGTCTACAACAGAATGCTTCAGAACTCATACATCCAGTTGATGGGCTTGCTTTCTTCCATTTTCTCCTTTGAAATAGTCAGCTGTAGCTGGGCTTGGTGGCTCAGCCTGTAATCCCGCTCCTTGGGAGGCTGAAGTGAGTAGACTGCCTGAGTCCGCGGGTTCGAAACCCACCTGGGCAACTTGGCGAGACCTCATCTCTACAATAAATAAAAAAAATTAGCCGGGCGTGGTAGCGCATGCCTGTAGTTCTAGCTACTTGGAAGGCTTAGGTGGAAGGCTCGCCAGAGCCCAGGAGGTCGAGGCTGCAGTGGCCGGGAGCGGCCACTGCACTCCAGTCTGGGCAACAGAGTGAGACTCCAACTCAAAAAATAAAAAATAAAAATAAAAAATGAAATAGTCATCTGTTTCATAGATGTTCCTTCTACCTGCAAACTGCAAACCTTCAGACACCTTCAACCTTTAGTTACCCATTGTTTTAATGGAAGACTTCAGATTGTAAAATGGCCTGGTTAAGAAATTGGTTTCTCCTACCCCATTGAAGAGATAAAATTTCATAAATTATCAAATGCTAAAGCATGCTTACTGTAAAATACACTTATAGTGCCTTGCTCTTGTCCAGTGCCTTACACGTTATCACATGGCCCCTCCTCATTCAGTCCTCTTGGCTGGATAAGATAATCCTCTCCATTTCACAGATGAGGAAATGCATGTTAGCAGACATTGAGCAATTTACCCAGAAACACAATTTGCAAGTAATGAAGCAGGGACTCAAGACTAAGCTGACTTCTAATACAAGCCATTAAAGTGACAGGGAATATAATTCTGTCTTTCTTTGATGATTGAGAACCAAGTCTCTAAAGACTTCAGTCTTTAATGTGAACATTAACTGCAATTATGCCACAGAACTCTAGCTTGGCCAGGTAAAATGGTGGTCTGGGTGAGAAAATGCCAAATTAGGCACATATTACTCTATTTATAACAGTCATCTAACTGCCTCTGGTGCTCTTAGGATAACAATTTAAAATGTGAAGAAAGGGGAGAGGCCCAACGAATGGAAATGAAACAGGATCATAGTGCCAACATTCAATTACACACACAGAACAATTACAGTCGTGCCACTCACATCTAACAGCACAAAGACGGGGAAGGCGTGGCTGCAAATTCATTTAACTCTGGACTCCTCTGCATACCTGCAAGACATATTTCCCTCCTGGTGTTATTTAAAAGTAACATTAAAGAACAGCCAATAAACTGCTTATCTTACCTAAATAAGAACCAACTAGAAACAACCCAAATGTTAAAACTGACCATGTTAAATTGACCATTTCAATCTGGAATGGTCAATTTAATGAGGTTTATTACCTTAAATCAAACACCACATCCAGGTATATATAAATGGTTAACATGAAACCTATATGGAAACAATAAAAGCTGCTTTTGCAGTAGTAAGTACAGTAAATAATAATATGTTCATATGTGAACAAATTCAGCAGAAACGCATGTTTTTAAGTGAGTTGGGATTTTGGGGGGTTCAGTTTTCTTTAATAAGATATAAACAAAGTCACAGAAGAGGAAATAAAATGACTTTCAAATAAAAACAGACTCAATCATACTCTTCATTAGAGAAATGAGAATGAAAAATATTCTGCCACCACCATTTTTCACCCATGATATTACCAGAGACCCAGAAGCTAGATCCCACTCCTGTTAGTGCAGCTGTGTAACAGCAAGCCCTCTCCCATGCTGCCACAGAACACACATGGCTCAGTACCAGGGAGGGCAGGCTGCCCATCTCTAGACAGCTCACAAACGCACTGCACTTTGATCCAGCAACTCTACTTCTGGGAATATCTCCAACAAATATACTCACACAGAAACAAAAATGACCAACACAGAGGCTATTCACAGTGGCATTAGACTGGAAACCACCTCCAAGGCCAGCTGTTGGCAGACTGGTTAAACAAATTCTGGTGCAGTCAGACAATGAAATATCAAGAGTTTATAAAAAGCAGAGGGCAGCCCCATGCACATCAACAAAGAACAATCTCTGATATGTCAGCTGAGTAGTGTGCAAGATATGCTACCACTTCACAGTAAGGAAGAAGGGGGGAAGGGGAAGAAAAGGGGGGAAAATGTATGCACATACCACTGCTTGTGCATACATGGAATATCTCTGGAATGAGCAACACTGGCCACTTCCAAGGAGCAAACCGCGTAGCTGGGATAAGAGAGGGGACTTGGGTAGTTTCACCTTTTGTATTTAGAACCGTATGCATACTTATTATTTGCTCATGACGCTAAATTAAAATTCATACATTTCATTTCCTTTGGTCACTATCTTCTCTTTTACTTAATTAGAAGGTACAGGTGACAGGTGTGCTTAGTTTCAGCAAGGCCTCACATGCTTATCTCTCCGACCGACCCTCACCCACCCCTACCTGGCCAATGCCTGGACCTTCGTGGCATGCCGCTCCTCCTGCTCAGCCACCTTCCTCTTCAGGGCGTCCACCTCCTGCCGGAGTGCGGCCGAGTGCTCCATCTCGCCATCAAGCAGGTTCCGCAGTGATCTGGGAAGAGGGCCCATCTGTTCAGACACTGTCAACCTAGAGCCCACTGAGCCCAGAACACAGTTAATAACTGAAGTCAAGTCCTGCTTCATTCCTTTGCCACAAGGCTCTGCATAAGCCATAATTCAAGTCTGTCTCACATCAACTGCTTTAGGAGATACCAAACTCTAGTCAAGAGCCCCAGAATAAGCAGTAGGACAAACTCCAGAGCAACTGGTGGCCCAGGCTCCATGTCCCCAGTCGCCTGTGAGCGAGTCAGTTATCTAACAGCTTAAGTCAAGGGAAAACAACGAAACACGCAAAATCCAGGCAAGCACTTTTAAAGACACCCCACTCAAAGAGACAGCAAATTAAACTCAGACCATTCTGTCACAGCCACACTAGATAAGAGATTTAACAAAGAAAAAGATTCCAAGACAGACCAAAATAATAATCTGAGGCATAAAATAGAATATCCACCCAGATTATCTGACAGACGTCTAGTCTCATTTCCACCTCTGCCTACAAAACACACTTGGAGCCTCTGATCTGTGGCCCCTCAAGGTTAAACAAGGAAATATGGTGCTTTACAAACCTACAGAGTTTGATTTAGCATAGACAGTGTTTTATAGTCCCAACTTTGGTAACCCTCCAAAACGTGTTCACTTGTGTATCTGTCATCCCCATCCTTAAATAAGGGAGTGGAGAGCAGCTCTTCTAGAATCATCCCAGTTAACCACCCAGAAAAGAGCCATGCATGGCTGTGCTGATCATTTACTTCACTCCACCTGAGCTAGTTCTCAAAACAATGACCAACCGTGGGACACCTAAATACTAAATCTAGAGGACAGTTGCCATGCGACATCAGAGTATAAACAAAATCATGTCACCCTCACTCCTGCCCCTCTCTATCATTCATGGAAATCTCTAAGACCTGTGTGATCCTTGAGAGATTTGAAGAAATACCCCTCTTGGGGTCTGGGGCCTCCTGACACAAACATGGTGTGTGTGTGTGTGTGTGTGTGTGTGTGTGTGTGTGCGCACATATATATATATATATATATATATATATATTTTTTTTTTTTTTTTTTTTTGCTTTCCTTCTCTGGGAAGGAGAAGAAATGAACAGTGACTGTTGTTCTTCACAAGGTAAGACAAAGTCTATGGCTTCTTCCAAGACAGTAGCTCTAGCTGGAACAAGGAAAAAGAATGGTGGCTGCAAGTCCTTTGTTGAAAGTTTATTTTAATTGAAAAATGGTGCAGTCTAAAGATTCCTTTTAAAAACATCCTGTTTTGTTTTAGAAATCATGTTTGATTGCTTTTGCATGGTTCCATAAAGGATGAGAGAGAAGCTTGTCAAGCAGGACCCAAAACAAGGTTGGAAAGAGACTCAGGATTGAACGTCACCAGAGACCCTTAATTTCCACTCTGAGTAAAATAACAGGGTGACATAAATACACATACCACCCCCACACCCAGGGAAGCAGCCTAATCATGCTGGCAGAAGCTTCGTAGGTAACTATAGGCAGGCCCTTCTATCTAGTCAAGACAAGGTCCTGGCAGCTGAGAAGCTCTGCTTCGGATAGTCATACAGCAACAATGCAGCCACATCAGGTCGCTTCTAACATTGGTTTCAACAGGGAAGAAAAGATGAAGAAAACCCTTTGCCCCTTCTAGTGTCTGCAAGAGGACTTTTGGCCAAGTCAGAAGAATCCAAATATCATCTTGCCCTAAGCATCCCTGATTTGGGCAAACTTGAAGACAAGCATTTAAGCACCTGGAACATGGCAGATGGGCCCTCAATGAGTTACTCAATTGTTAGACTTCACTGGGGAAGGGAGGTGACAGCTGAAGCTTTCTTTTTGAGGTGATGAAAATGTAGGTTACTCATATCTGTAATATACTAAAAACCACTGAACTGTATATTTCACATGAATGAACTGTAGGGCATGTGAATTAAATCTCAATAAAGGTTGTTTTCAACAGGAGAATTAACAACTACTCAGCTGAGTTCTTGGTTTGCTGTAAAGTGGTGCCATCATTGTGAGGTTCTTCTTCCTTGCATACACACGGTCCACAAGACAGATATTAAATGGCACATCCCAGACAACAAATAAGAACTAGCCAGTCACAATTTTTTCAATAAAACAAAACTTCCTTCATTGGTTATATTCTCTCTTCCCCAGGGTAGACTGTCAGAGAAGCAGCCTTTCCCCAAGACTGAAGATAACGGTACCTGTTCTCTTCTTCCAGCTCATCCTTCCTGTTCATCATGACCACGATGGCTTGGCGCAGTTCACCTGAGGAAAGAAAGCCAAGTCAGATGAATCGGCAGATCTGGCCCATTCTACCATCCCCTCACCTCTTTGGATTATATGCTATTAAGGACAACCTGCCTAGCTAAGCTCCTTTCTCCCTGTCAAAACAAATTCCTAGACGGTCTAAGAGATCCAGTGGGCTCAGCAGACCACTCTTTTCTCAATCATACAGAAGTGCCCAGGGCAGGACAAGGATAGATATGAAGGTGCTTCCTTGGAGAATATACTAGGCTGCTATGGAAAATCTAGGCTTGCAATTTCTAAGTGTTTTTCCAAGTCTCTGTTACTGGACAAAATCTGTTTTGAACAATGGTTTATTCCCAATTCTGGCTGTTTATCAAGTGACACTTGGCTCCACATTGGCATAGAAATAGCTACTCAAGGTTAATAGAAGATTTGGTTCTCTGACACCACTGTATTAGTACACAGATGACACAGAGGGAGAAGGATATCTCCAATACACAGTCCACAATTACTTATCAGAGCTACTCTCCTGAACACCTTCAACATAAGAAAACTTTTACAGACAGAAAATGGCACCTTTACATTAAATAAGTACTCAAGATTCCTATTGACATCAAACTTAATTATCATCACTATCCACATGTTGAAGACATTGCCAAATTGCTGTCAGATCTCAAGACGGGAACTTTTGAATTTCTTCTGGAGAGCTAGTGCTGTTTTGTTCATTTCTGTTAACGGACCTTGAACTATATTTCCCTCTTAGTGTTGGCTGTTAGGAAGCTCAAAGACAAAATTACACATCCAGCAAGTATACATGGCAATCACTATTTGTCCCAATCTTCTGGTCTTCTTTTCCAACCTGTATTTCCACATTATGCCAATTTTACTTATTATCTATCTTGCTTTATGTGGTGGGGTACCCCTCAAAAAAGCCAACATTGTTTTTTGGAGTGTAGGTCCCTTGTAGTATAGGCTTCTCCCACTAGGAACCCATGGGCATCAGTGTACCAGCTAGCATTATTGCGAGAGGTTGTATTTGGCTTCAGTGAATTTTTTTAAAGATTCTTTCAATGCATTTGCCCATTTCATGATGGGTGGTTTACAAGCACACCTGCCCACACCACACTGGGAGTTCAGCAGTTTTTGACCAAAAACAGCATGACCCCCATGCCCCACCCTCCCTATTCACCCAATCTCACCCCCAGAGCAACCTTTTTTGTGTTTCCCCCTGAAAAAAGTCCACAAAGGGAAATGTTTTGCCAAAGTAGAAGAGGTGAAACAAAAAAGAGCAGAAGTACTAAAAAGGCCATCCAAAATGACAAGTTCAAAAACTGGAAAAAGCATCTAGATAGGTGTGTTGCAGCAAATGGAAAGTACTTTGAAAGTGACTGAAAGTTAAACATGTAAGAATAAATAGACAATTTTTTAATAAATAAATTCCAGGATTTTTTGGTCACCCTTCGTATTATGCAGTTTTAAATCTGTTTTACTTCACATCCTGTTTTGGAAAGGGGTTTGGCTAGCTAGTTGTTGCTTTGTTTTGTTTTGTTTTTCCTTTTAGCTAAAATCTAAACCCTTGTACTTGCCAGATTCTATTCAAAACTCTTACTGGCACAGTCTCATCTAATCCTTTAAACACACCTAAGAAATGCACATCACTGTTTCCTTCCCATTGGGGTGTAAATAAACCACAAAGAAAGGAGGAGTGGATGGAGGAGGGTGGGAGCAAAGCTAGAGATAAGTAGGCAGGTCCCTCTGGTCCCTTATACTTAGAATGCCCAGGAAGGAAGAAGCTGCCAAAGTCTCAAAGAAATGCTATCATAAGACCAATGCTGTCCTCTGACTGTCTGGGGTGTGAGAATTACTGCTTTATCAATACTCACAGTAACCTTAATCCATCTCACAGATGAGGAACAAACTCTGAGAGGTCACTGACTAGGCCACACAACCACACACCTCACAAATATCAGAGACAGGATGGTAACCAAGTCTCTGACTCAAAGTTGATGCCCCCAACAGCTGTGCCATGAAACACACAGCACAGACAGAAGGTAACAAGGGCCAAGGAATGGACCAATGGCACGTGTGCTATGTCCTGACCAAAGCGCACAGGAGCCCACTAAACAACACATATCCAGGGGATAAGGTCACACTGGGACATCGAGGAGCTCAGTTCTGGGTACCATGTTGCAAGACCAGAGCTATATGTGATCCTTTTCTCAATGTTTGAAATTTTCATAATAGAAAAAATAGGTAGAAAACACATTTCCAGAAAATATATTAACAAAAATTAGAATGAAGGGGAAGAGGCAAGGCTGAGAAGAGGCAGAATTAATCAGCCTCAAGAACCAGAAAGGAGGTCAGGTTGTCATCCTGTAGCCACTAGGAGAAGGGAAATCAGATAAAACCAATAAAGCCAGAACATAGCACACTGCCTGCCTGGGTCGTGTGCTGCCTGGAGTTAACAAAGGCTCAGAGTTCACATGTTCATTCATACATTCACGCATCCAGTAAACATCTACTGAGTACCTACTGGGTACAAGTAACTTCCTAGGGAAAAAGTACCCTTAAAGGAGGATTTCTCAATGGAAAACAATAATACATATCCACACACTCCTATAATACAACAGAGTCTATATGACTTTTCATTCTGAACTTGACCCTTAACCAGAGCCTTCCCTTGGAGCCTTGGACCAGCATCTCAGGTTCCCGGAGCCCTTCTCTCAGGCACAGGGGTGAAAAGCACTCACTTTCTTACCTCCCTGGGATGCTGCAGGGGTCAGGGATGATGCTATGTCAAGGCAGTTCCCTTACAGACTGTAGCAGGGAGCACTTCCAAGTTAGAACTTATCATAATGCCATTATGAGTTAGAATTTTAACTGAAAACACTGATAAATCTATAGAGAAAGGCCATGGTGTCATTCTCATAATGCCATAGCCATGAAAGAAAAAGAACAGACTTAATATATTACTGAAGACAGGCAGAATAAGATCTCTTTGCTGTTGTCTTCAAGAAACCCATATGGCTCTGCGGCCGCCCAGCTGCAGCCATGACCAGTATCCTCCACAAAAGGCTGGGCTGCTACATGCAGCAGCTGCAGCACCTCAGCTTCAGCCTCAACTGCAACGGTGCCTCATCCCGCAGCACCAGAGAGTTCGTGGAGCAGGAGGTGACTGACTTCACGTTATGGAACCCAGGGGTTGTGATTTATGTGAACTCGCGTCCATGCTGTGTGCCCCAAGTCATGGCCAAATACGAGAATGGGGCGGTGCACGAGGAGAGCATCCACTGCAAAGTCATCCGAGCTCTGGGTGCAGAAGCAAGCTGGCCAGTCAGGCCTGGATGTGATCCACATCCGCAAGCCCTTCCACACCAACAGCCCCAGCATCCAGGGCCAGTGACACCCATTCACCAACAAGCCTACCACAGTCCACAGGTGTGCCCCTGAGAGCACCCAGAGCCAACCTCAGCCCAGCCACAGGCCCAGTGAAGAGCAGCACCTGTCCCCACACCCAGGCTCTGAACCAGTGCTCCAGGAGCAGGGGTCCTTCCTCTGGGATTCCAAGCCCAGGCAGACACACTGAGGCCCCTGTGGGGACGAAGACTTTGCTTGGGGTATGGAAGAGCTGCCTGTTTCTTTCCAATACCCACTGCTAGGGACAGGGACCTCATGAGTCTCCTGATGCCTGTCTAGCTGTCATCCCTGAAGCCTGAGATGGGGCCTGGAGGGTTTTACAGGGCCCTTGGTTTCCAAATTGGTAACAGTGATCTCCAGACACAATGAGGTTCTCTAGGCGGGCTTCTGTAGCATTGCTGAGGTTGTGTTGGTATGGCCATAGAGCTACATTCTGCTGTGATCCTGGCATTGGACAAGGCGTGTAATTTACCTCTGTGTGAATGTTTGTGTACAGATGAGAAAACAGGTTAATGAACTTATGGTCACACCTGAAAAAAAGAGAAATGAAACCCAGAGCAGGTGGCCACTGTGCACTGAGGACACAGACTTCGGGACTTATTCCTTTGTTCCAAAGCCTGTTTGAATTTTCAATTTTTTTTTTTTTAAGAGGCAGGATCTCTCTCTGTCACCCAGCCTGGAGTCCAGTAGTGCAATCACAGCTCACTGCAGCCTCGAACTCCTGGGCTCAAGCAGTCCTGCCACCTCAGCCTCCTGAGTAGCTGGGACCACAGACGTGCACAGAATTCTGATTGTTTTTTCACTGGGCCTTTTTCCCCACTGCAGTTCAGCATCACATGAGGGGCAAAGGAATAGGATATTCATAATCTCAGTGTGAGGCTAAAAGAATCACCTCTTAAAGAAACCTCACTCCAGCACGTCAAGGCTGCAGTGGCCATGAACATGCCACTGCATTCCAGCCTGGGTGACAGAGTGAGACTACAACTCAAAAAAAAAGAAAGAAAGAAACTGCACTCTACTGGTGGGCAACCCTGCCCAATGTCTATCCCTGTACAGTGGGACACGGCACATGCACGTCTAATGTACACTAATGAACTGCTGGCAATGGACCTGAACAGGATCAGAGCGCAACAGAGGACATGGACACAGCAAAGGCACCTCTACTGCCAGTGCACTCAGCAAGGGGCGCCTGGACTGCAGGCAGCAGCATCATGCTCAACAGGCCCTCAGTCCCTGGCCTCAGCTGTGCCTCTCCCGGAGGGAGCCACTTGCCACCATGAGCATGATCCTTGTACTAAGACATTTGTGCTTGTCCTTCTCTGCAGCCACCGTGCAACCCCTTTCCCTGGCCTCAGCTGCACAAACAGGGATCTGCATGGCCCAGGGGCCTTCCAAGGGACCCTCCAGGGCAATTCTGACTGTGCTATTTTGCACCTACCCACAGACACAAGGGCTTCTCCTCTGAATAAGATATAAATCCAACAAGTGTTTGTTTCACGATTTCCTGACCAGAATGGATCCTTCCTCATGTTCATCCCTCACTCCCAAGCTGACAAAACCCAAGAGTGATCTATTTAGGCCCAGTTGAAAAGGCACCTCTT